ACTTTGGTACACCCCTCACGCGCTTCGTGGCCCCATAGGTAGCTCCACCGAAGGCCCCAGTGGCAGGGTTCGCATGCCGCCCTCGCCCCACTTTGGCACACCCACACGTTTCGTGGCCTCATAGGGAGCTCCACCGAAGGCCCCAGTGGCAGGGTTGGGATGCCGCCCCCATCTCACTTTGGCACACCCCTCACACGTTTCGTGGCCCAATAAGGAGCTCCACCGACGGCCCCAGTGGCAGCAGGGTTCGCATGCCGCCCCCACCCCACTTTGGCACACCCCTCACGCATTTCGTGGCCCCATAGGGTGCTCTACCTAAGGCCCCCGTGGCAGGGTTCGCATGCCGCCCCCACCCACTTTTGCACACCCCTCACACGCTTCGTGGCCCCATTGGGAGTTCCACCGGCGGCCCCAGTGGCAGGGTTCGCATGCGTCCGCGCCACCCATGTCGACACACCCTTGACACGCTTCGTGGCCCCATAATGAGCTCCACCGAAGGCCCCAGTGGCAGAGTTGGCATGCCGCCCCTCGCCCATTTCGGCCCACACCTCACACGTTTCGTGGCCCCATAGGGGGCTCCAAACCGGGGGGGCTGGCGCCCAGTGTGCAGTTTCGCAGGCCTATCCACACCACCCATTTCGGCACACCCCTCCATACGTTTCGTGGCCCCATAAGGAGGAATACACCGAAGGCCCAGTGGCTCCCCACCCACCCATTTCGGCACACCCCTCACAAACGTCTTCGTGGCCCCCATAGGGAGCTTCCACCGAAGGCCCCAGTGGCGCGTTCGCATGCCTCCCACCCACCCATTTCGTGCCCACCCCTCACACGTTTCGTGGCCCAAGGGAGACTCCAACCGAAGGCCCAGTGGCAGGGTCCGCAGCCTCCCCACCACCCATTCGGCAACCCTTCACCGTTTTTCGTTGCCCCATAGGGAGCTCCACCGAAGGCCCCAGTGGCGCGGTGCCTATGAGAAGAGGGGCCTAGTTTGCGTGCCCCCTCCTTCGTCTCATATCCGTGCGGTACTCGCAGCTGCATATGGTTGGGTCCTTCGCCAGGCTATTTTTTTGTTGGGGCGGGGTATTTTTCATTTTGTTCCTCTTCATTTTTCATCCAAAATCCCCCTGTAGGGGGACATGCCTGACCTAAGACGATGGCGGCCGCGCGGGGTGGGTGGGTGGGGCAAGCCAGGTGCTCTCGCGTCATGTCTGACGTCCTCCCCTCCCTCCCATGCCCTCCCATGGCGTAGATCGCCTCGCTATTCGCACAGTCGGATGTCGTAGCGTGGCATAGCACTACATAGCATAGCATGACATAGCATGGCGTGGCGACGCCCCAGAGAGGGTTGGGTTTCTGCGGCCCCAAAAACCAACGAGTCGACACCGAAAATGTAATCACTTCCGATGGGTTTTTCGGGAGGGCATTTTCTAGATTTTGGGGCTTGTCTGGAAGGACCAAAAACCATGCCGTGGCATGGCACTGGAAATAATAACGCCAGCGCTGCAACGGGAGCACGATTCGGAACGAGCGGAAGCGCAGAAATGAGGCCAACGCTGCAGCGGGAGCACGTTGGAACGAGCGGAAGCGTGGAAATGAGGCCAGCGCTGGAGCGGGAGCACTTTTCGGAACGAGCGGAAGCCCCAAAATGAGGCCAGCGCCTCAGCGGGAGCAGTATAAAAAAAGCCAAGCGAAAACCAGCTCCCGGGAATCCTGTGCGTAAGAAACAGGACGCGGAGGGGGGCCGAACATCTTCCGGACGTCATCAGGGGAGAGAGGAGAGTATCATGCATCGGCGGTGAGCGAGGGGGGAAGTGAAAAGGAGAAGGTCTTCTCAGAAGGTTCGGAAGTCCCCCGGCCTTCTGCTGAGAAGTTTTCTGAGCCTCCCCCGAAGACAGAAAACACTTCTCAGAAGGCGCGATGGCTTCTGAGAAGTCCCGACGCCTCCTGAGGAGGCCTTCTCCTTCGCACTTCCCCCTTTCGCTCGCCGCCGAATTCATATTGTGAAATGGTAGATCGCTCAGACGTGGAAAGGGTTCCGCGTCGAGCGGGCCAGAGCGGCCGACCGAGGCAGCGTTGACCGTGGCAGCAGCCGGGGCCGAGGCGAGGGCGCACCCACGGGCGCTCCCTTTGGGCGCAGTGACGACGGCGGGCCCTTACGAACGCCGACGCCGCCGACGACGACGACGACGACGGCGGTGCTCCGCCCGACGGGCGCCTGCCGACGCACGGGCGCGGCGCGCGGGGCCCCAATGGCGGGCCGGGCCGGGCCGGGCTGGCCGGCGCTCGGCCCGCCGGCGTGGCGCAGTGGTCCTGCCGGCTTCTGGAGGCCTGCAGGGCGTTCCAAGTGGATCCGCCCGGCAAGGCTTCCAGGAAGTCTGCGGGAGCCGCTGGAGCTCAGGACTGCCGCTGGTCATCGAGCTGCTCGGCGTCAACCTGACGGTGCACCCGGAGCACTACATGCGCCAGCTGCCGCTGGTGGCCCCCTGCCGAGCGAGACCGCGCGCAGATGGGGGGATGGACGCCTCCATGGCGGCGGCGGCGCTGGCGGCGGAGGCGAAGGCAAGTTTGAAAGACGAGTAATAAAGTTTTCAACGGAGGCAAGGGGCGGTCGCGGTACGAATGCGAGGGCGAACCCCTTACCCCTTCTGCCGCTGCGCTCGGGTTGTGCTCCAGAGGCCCTGGGGACGTGCTTTTGGAGCTCCCGGGAGGCTTTTCTGAGGGGCTCATGGGGGCGTTCAACTACGAGTGACCTTTGGCCAGAGTGACCTTTTGGTGCGGGCCCACTGGGGTCCACCGATCGCCGAACGCGATGCGACAGTAGCCTCTCGCGCGCTTGTGTCTGGCCCCCCCCCGCGGCCCCCAAGAAGGCCGCGCATCGAAAGTCATTCTTGCCCAGGGTCGCGCTTGCGTGTAGTCGAGGGCGTTTGTGGCCCGCTTGGGTGCATTCTGGAGCGTCTTGGGGCCTCGAGGAGGCCTCCCGGGCACCTCTCGGGATTCCTCGAGACCGTGCTGGAGCGGTCCACTTCCAGCGGCGCGGGGTCCTGCGCCGTTCTTCCGACCTCTGCTGTCGTTCAAGCTTGATCCCGCTCGATCCCCTCCTTGCCCCTCCTCGTCCTCCTTGTCGTCGGTGACAAATCCTCGTAAGTTTGTCTTCAGCGTCGGCTAGCGTCGATTAGAGTCTGGGAGTCGATGAGATAGCTCCGATTAGGCGTCGTTTAGCGTCGGTTAGCGTCGATTTAGCGTCGATCAGCGTCGATTTAGCGTCGATTAGCGTCGATTCGCAAGAGTCCACAAGATGGTATGGGAGGCTCCCATGAGTTGCCGCAGAACTTGTCTCGCCGCCTCCTCTTGCTCTTGCTCCCCCCTCCCCCGTGGCGCAGCCACTTTGGCTCGAGGGCCGCCCCTGGCTCCCGGAGGACGCGGTCGCTGCTCCGCCTCGCCTCGCCGCCCTACGAGTTCGAGAGCCCTCCCTTGAACGAAGGATTGCAAAAAAACCCAGGATTGCAAAAAAAAAAAACCCGCTCCTTCGTGTTTTTTTTGCAATCCTTCGTGTTTTTTTTGCAATCCTTCGCTCCCCAGCCGGAGCAGCCGAGCGCCAGGGATGCCGGCCGCCCCCGTCTCTCGCCGCAGCGGGCTGGTGCCCGCCTCGCTGGTCGCGGCGGCCACTTTGGCCTCCGTCTCGCGCACGTTCGTCGCGCCGCGGACGCCCGCGGCGCGCTCCGGAAGGACGGCCGTGCGGGGCTTCAAGGAGGACTTCGAGGCGTGGAGGGGGTCGCTGACGCCCGAGGAGAGCACGATGCTCAAGAAGCAGGCGGCGGGCGAGTTCAACAAGAAGTTCCGCAAATCCGACGAGTTCAAGAAGGACCTGCCGGACGAGAAGGTGCAGTCCTTCTCGAAGATTCTCGGCAAGTTCTTCGAGGCGGAGGCCGACGACTACAAGAAGGAGCCGGGGTCTGAGGCCCCAGACCCTGACGGCCTGCTGTTCAAGGGCACCGAGTCCAAGATGGACTTCAGGCTGAAGAGCCGGATCGTCGAGATCGACCGCGACGCGGAGCGCCGCTACCATTTCGCCGCGTTGAGGACCACGCACGCCGCGTACAGGGGGGAGTTCTGGCCGAGCAGCTCCCCGATGAAGGACGTGTACTATTTCCAGAACAATGACACGGACTCGCACGACATGTTGGTGAAGGCGGTCGAGAATGCGGGGGTTCCTGTGGAGGTTCCTCCGGTCGGCGAGAGGTTCAGCCTGGTGCTTCCCAGATGCTTGTTTCAAGATATCAACGAGGTCGGCGCCAATCTCATCGCCTGGAAGGAGCAGTTTGGCGTTTCGGATGACGACTACAAAAAGGCGGTCGAGAAGGTCACCACCGACCTGATTTTGGGATACTATAAGGCCCGCGAGACGATTGAGAAGGACGTCACGGACATGAAGAACTTCTTCAAGTCTCAGTCGAAGGATCTGTACAAGACCAAGGCCGATGTCATGAAGGAGATCTGGAGGGTGTTCGAGGAGAAGTCTGGCAAGAAGATGCCCCCGCTGGATGACGAGTTTTTGGCTGACCTCGAGAAGATTCCTGCCGTGGACGAGATCTCCTTCAGGCACCCCTGGGGTATCGCTGACAAGCTGTACAAATCGGAGGCCATCGACGCCTTCGGCTTCAAGTACCTGCTGGGCGTCTTCGAGACCGTAAAGGAGGCCGAGGCGGCCTTCGACAGCTGGAACGCCGAGTTTGACCAGGCGCGTGTGGACATGGAGAATGAGCTGGGCCAGTGGAGCAAGCAGGAGCAGGCGCGCCTCGACGCCGACACCGCAGGCCAGGAGGCCATGAAGGTCGTGATGGAGCAGGGCAGGGCTTAAGGGTCCCGCCTGGCTCCCCCTTGTGTGAGGCGCTTTCGCCTTCCTGCTGCCGAGCGCCGCGATTCTTCTAGTGGAAACGCCGCTGCTGACGATCCCATGGAGAAGGAGCCCCCAAAGTTGGCTCCTGAGGGCCCTGCCCGCCGTCACTCTGTGGGTTCGCTCGCCCTTTGGGCGGCCACCCATTAAATGTTTCGCAAGCAACATCATGCTACGACGTGCTGCACTTCCGCGCGCCTTGGCACGGATTTGGGCAGCAATATTTTTCCCTCGGTCGCATCACCTGTTTACGTTTGCTAAGGGGAGCTCAAGCTGACTTTGCAAAGGCTGACATTGCGAACCTAACTGCGCTGATCCGTTGGTCGTGGTCCCAGTGTCGAGCGCATTTTACAAGGTTCCTCTTTGTCGTTCTTCTCCCTCTGCTGCTGCCGCTCCTCCTGCTCCTTTTCCTCGTTGCAAGGTTCACTCATGGCTCCCGCTGTGAGGCCTTCTTCCATTCCGACGTCTTTGACGCGCACGGTAGGTCGCACGTCTCTAAGTCTCATCAAGGTGTGTTTGTGTTCGATTAGCTCGACCTTCGACCCGACACCGTTTCGCCGCCGCCTTTCCCTCCATCCCTTCTCCTTGTAGATAACTCCTCCCTGTCGCACCCTTAGGCTGGTCGAAAGTGCGGGCCAGGCGTTTCGCTTGAGACTTCCTTATCATCCCGAAGCTTATGATTTGCAATAGTTTCACGGATGGAGGGCGGCACGTTTTCAACATGTGATTCTAGCTCTAACGCCGCGCGCATTCGTTTTATTAATTTGCAAGAGCTTCACGGATGGAGGGCGGCACGTTTCCAACATGTGGTTCTCGCTTTGGCGCCACGCACATTCGTTTTCAATGCTTGCATGAGCTTCGCGGATGGAGGGCGGCATGTTTTCAAAATGTCGCTCTCGCTTTGGCGCCGCGCACATTCGTCTTAAACGTTTGCAAGAGCTTCACGTATGGAGGGTGGCACGTTTTCAACATGTGGTTCTCGCTTTGGCGCAGCGCACATTCGTCTTAAACGTTTGCAGGAGCTTCACGTATGGAGGGCGGCATGTTTTCAAAATGTCGCTCTCGCTTCAGCGCCGCGTACAGTCGTCTTAAACGTTTGACAGAGTTTCACGCATGGAGGGCGGCTTCTTTTCAACGTGCGGTTCTCGCTTTAGCGCCTTGCAGACTCGGTTTAAGCGTTCGCAGCAGCTTCGAGGATTGTCATGGTTCACGCCCCAGAAATGGTATTTTGGTACGATGTCGGAATTTCAGGGCTGCAGCAGTCACGTTGAGTCGCGGTCTTGAGGTCCCGGGAATGGTGCTCTGGTCGGCAGGCAGGGCGGGCCGGGCGTTTCGCTCGAGACGTTCTCACCACTCATAGCCCCGAAGCTTGGCATCTGTAGCAGCTTCACAGATGGAGGGCTGGTCGTTTTGAGCATGTGGCTCTCGCCGTAGCGCCACACATTCGTTCTCAAAGCTTGCAGCAGTTTCAATGACGGAGGACATGTGATTTTCAGCATATGGCTCTCGCCTCAGCGCCGTGAGCATTCGTCTTCACAGTTTGCACCAATTTCAAGGATGGAGGGCGGCTCTTTTTCAACATGTGGCTCTCGCTTTAGCGCCGTGCACATTCGTCTTAATCGTTTACGACAGTTTGGCGGACTCGTATGGTTGATTTGCCAGGAATGGTGTTCTGGTGCGATTATGAACTGTCAGGGCGCAACAGTCGTGTTTATTCGCGGTGATGAAGTCCCAGGAAGTGTTCTGGTAAGGTTCTAGCACGGTTTGACATTGCGAGGACGCAACAGACCCGTTGATCTGCGGCGTTGAGATCCCAGGAAGTTTTTTGGCACGGTTTGGATTCTCAGACGGTTGTAGTATCATGGGCCATTTATTGCAACGTCGTTGACGCGTTGGGTTTACATTTGTCCTCCTCCTCCTCCTCCTCCTCCTCCTCCTCCTCCTCCTCCTCCCCCTCCTCCTTCTCCTCCTCCTCCTCCTCCTCCTCCTCCTCCTCTCTCTTTCTCGTCCGTCCCCCTCCTCCTTGCCCCACTCCCCCCCCCCCAGCGTCCCGCCGAGCAGGCGGAGGGCGACCTCGGCAGCAGCAGGAAGGTCAAGGCGCTCCGCCGCCGCCGCCGCCGCCTCCTCCCTCGTCTTCGCGCTCAGCGGCCCCGCCCCTCCCCCCTCGCCCCCCTCCTGCTTCTCGTCCGCCCTGCTGCGGATTCCCACTGAATGCGCGAGGGTTCACCGGGGCCTTCTTCTTGGTATCGCTTGGACGTGTGCACTTTTTCTCGGCGGGGATTATTAAGGAGCATCCTGGATCATCCTGCGAAAAAACCACGCACGAAACTAAACGAACACAGGGAATAGACGTCCGAGCGATGGCCAGTCTTCGGGCAGCGGGCCATACTCGCGCACTAGCAGTGGTGCGCAAAGACCATGCTCGGACTTCTGCGAGGCTGCGGTTGAGTTGGTAGGGGCGGCGGTGCCGTTTCGGCCGCCGAGACGGCGGCGATGCGTATATTGTTGACGCTGGTTCTTGAGAGTGCGCAATTTCCAAGCGTGGGGATCTCGGCAAACACGCCATACCAATCCGGGCGACCATATGGCCATGGGCTTCCCAGCCTCCAGCAAACACCTCGAGAACATCCCAGAACCTCCCGTTTCTTCCGTGCCCTGAAGCCTAAGGCCTTTCTAGAACCTCGCATACTCTTCGAGCGAGCATCTCTGATACCCCCTCCAACAAATCCCTATCCTCCTCCCTCCACACTACTTCTTCTTCCTCTTTTCTTCCTCCTCCCTCCTCCCTCCGCTCTCCTCGTTGGTTTGATCCTCCAGCGATTACTCGTACTTATTGTGCTTATCCGTACTACTATTACTAGTACTACCACTACTATTACTAACTATTCTTATTGCTACTACTACTACTACTACTACTACTACTACTACTACTACTACGGCTGCTACTACTACTTCTACTTTCCAGGTCTAGTACTATTTCTACTACTGCTACTGCTACTACTACTACTACTACTACTACTACTACTACTACTACTACTACTACTACTACCACTACTACTGATACTGATACTACTACTACTACTACTACTACTACTACTACTACTACTACTACTACTACTACTACTACTACTACTACTACTGATACTGATACTCGTACTACTACTACTACTAGTACTACTACTACTACTACTACTACTACTACTACTACTACTACTACTACTACTACTACTACTACTACTATAACAACAACAACTATTACTATTACCACCCTTATTATTACTACTGATACCGGAGAAAAGCCCGAATCATAATCTTTTTAGGACGATAGGGCTATGGGACTACAAGGCTATAGGACTACAAGGGCTATAGGACTATAGGGCTATGGGACTACAAGGGCTATAAGGGCTATAGGGCTATAGGGCTACAAGGCTATGGGACTACAGGGCTGGAGGACCATAGGGCTATAGGGCCATAGGTCTATAGGGCTATATGGCTATAGGGCTATAGGGATACAGGGCTATTGGGCTACATGGCTATAGGACCATAGGGCTATAGGGCTATAAGGCTATAAGGCTATAGGGCTATTAGGGCTACAAGGCTATCGTGCTATAGGGCTATCGGGCTAGAAGGCTATAGCGCTATAGGGCTAATAGGGCTACCGGGCACCCGGGCACCCGAGCACCCAGGCGTGCTGCCGAAATCGGCGCCAACCTTTCACCTAATGATACCGGAGAAAAGCCCCAATCAGAGTCTTTTTTGACAATTGGGCTACTGGGCAACTGGGCTATAGAGCTATAGGGCTATAGGGCTATGGGGCTTTAGGGCTATACAGCTATAGGGCTATAGGGCTATTGAGCCATGGGGCTGTAGGGCTATGGGGCTATAGAGCGAGCTGTAGAGCTATAGGGCTATAGGGCTATAGGGCACCCCCTGGCACCCGGGCACCCCCGGGCACGCCCTGGCACCCGGGCACCCGGGCACCCCCGGGCACCCCCGGGCACCTGGGCACCCGGGCGTGCAGCGAAAATCGGCGGCAAACCGAACCTAACCATATGAATCCGCTACCGGAGAAAAATCCCAATCAGGGCTATAAGGCTAGTGGGCTATAATCATAGGGCTGTAGGGCTATTGAGCTATAGGGCTATAGAGCTGCTACAGGGCTATTGGGCCATTGGGCTATTGGGCTATAGGGCCATAGGGCTGTAGGGCATCCCTGGGCACCCCCGGGCACGCCCGGGCACCAGGGCACCCAGGCACCCCGGGGCACCCCCCGGGTACCCGGGCGTGCAGCGAAAATCGGCGGCCACCTTCACCCCAGGGCACCCCCGGGCACCCAGGCACCCGGGCGTGCGGCGAAAATCGGCGGCAAATCTAACCTAACCATATGAATCCGCCTGGACCCCTACAGAGGCAAAGTTCTGATTGGGGAACAGAGGCGAGCTCTGATTGGGGAACCATACGAATCCGCTAGGACTCCTGCAGAGGCAAGCTCTGATTGGGGAATTCCTCAGTAACTGACTAACAGACTAGCTAAACAACTAACTAACTGAATAGCTCACTAAATACCTAACTAACTAAATACGAGTATACTACTACTACTACTACTGCTACTACTACAAATACTACTACTACTACTACGACTACTACTACTACTACTACTACTACTACTACTACTACTACTACTACTACTACTACTACCACTACCACTACCATTACCACTACTACCACTACCACTACTACCACTACCACTACTACTACCACTACTAACTACTACTCTACTACTACAC